CGTCGTGACCTGGGGTCGTCCTGATTATGGTGGTGACAGTAGTTCCGTGCAAGATCAGCTGAAGAATGTGCAGCAGATCCAAGCCACTGCCCGTGCTTTTGCTGCCATTCCTGGCGATGGATCCGTCGTGACCTGGGGTCCTGCTGATTTTGGTGGTGACAGTAGTGCGGTGCTAGATCAGCTGAGGAACGTGCACCTTTGCTGCCATTCTTGACGATGGGTCCGTCGTGACCTGGGCTAATTTTGCCCATGGTGGTGCGCATTACATAGCAACACTCGCGCGCCGTTTGCAAAAAAGTGTTGGTCGAAGCGCTGATGTCAGATCGGCAACATCTTTGCAGAGCCCCTGCACTTTCGGACTCCAAGGCTTATAGGGTTAGGGCAGTGAAGGGTTTAGGGTTTTGGCTTTGTAGGGTTGAGGGACACTTAGCTTTACGTTGTTTTGGGCCTAGGTTTTCGGGTTTAGGACATCGATTTCACCTTGCACCTCGACTATGTGACTATGGGGTTGATCCGCACACCGTTTCCAGATCCTAGATTCAAAGATGCAAGTACCTGCTAGCCATTGAATGTCATGTTAGCCTACACCATGACTATTCAATTCAGTGGCCTCAATCACGAAACGAAGCAACCCTGAACACCCTCGGCCCCTCCACAAAAAAGCAAAAAGAAAAACGTCATGCTTCAACCGTGGATCCATGAAGCTTTTATGGTAGGCCGTTGAAAAGTGAACCCGCCTCAAGTCTCCGGCCTACTCACTCTAAGTCCAGATTCCTAAAGCCCCCGAAGCCTGCAAGATCTCACAGGGTTTCACGATCCATCTAGCTATATTACCCCTGAGCCCTAAACACTAACCCTTAAACCCTATAAAGAACCCTAAACCCTTAATCAGCCCTAAACCCGAACCCTAAACCCGTGAAAGACAAATCAAAAAGCCCCAGTCTGACCACGCAGGTCCGGGCCGTTAGGACAAGCTCCGGGTTCCGGCTACCTCCGTAGCTGCCTCGGAAAGGCAACGAAGCAACCTGACGTCCTTAGGCTTTCGCATTCTGCTGCGAGGTTTTCTCTAGGGCTGGCTTAGAAGGGTTGTAGGGCTCAGACTTCGGGGTTTCTTAGGTTTGATTGTGGACACTTACTTCGTGATTTAGAACTGAGCCATTAGGGTGACGGCTCCCGAGCAAGAATTTCAAGAGTGTGATGTGGGTCTTCGGGGTGAGTCGAAAGCGGCTTCACCCAGTATTCCTAAACCATGATGCGGTTGATGGTATAAATCCTGCATTACCCAGAATGAGGAATATACCATAACTCCCATAGTTCAAGGTCCTTAAGGTAATGCAGGATTTATCTCATCAACAGTATGCTGATACAGGAACGCCATAGTAGCCCATAAAGGAAGCCTCATGAAGTGTAACAGACCTTTGGAGGTCCCTAATCCCTAAACCCTTAGGTGTAATCCCCTTGGGGGAGGAGCTTCGGAAAAGGGGCGCCCACTACACTTAAAAAAAAAAAACCTAAATCCGAAACCCCAAACCGAGGCATTGCACACCGCCGCCTTGCGAGCTTGGGCATGCGGACCTGGGATCGGAGTGTGAAGCGATCACCGGGAGAGAGACCGGGCTTATGTTCAGGGAGCTTCGTTTGGCCTTAGTTGAAGTTGCATGTATGTATGTATGTATGTATGTATGTATGTATGTATGTATATATAAATATAAATATATATATATATTTGTTTATTTATACTGTTATCTTTATATTTATATATTTATGTTTATATTTTTATTTTTACTTATATATTTATTCATTTTTGTATATATTTATATCCATATTTATATTTTTATTTAATTAGTTATTCGTTTTTGTATATATTTATATTTATATTTATATTTATATTTTCTTTTATCTATTTATTTACTTATTTATTTATTCGTTTTTGTATATATTTATATTTGTATTTTTTATTTTTATTTATTTTTCATTTTGTATTTATTTATATATATATATATACATACATACTTACATTTATATTTATATTTATATTTATATTTATATTTATTTTTATTTTTATATATTTGTATATTTATACTTATATTTATATTTAGATTTGGATTTATATTTATATTTATACTTACAAATATGGTATTAGTTTAGCCGTAGGTTAACTTACCATGATATCGGGAGCTATAGCAAATGATATGGTTTCCTTTGTCATGGTCACTTAAATCGAGCTTCTGAACAAGAGCCCAGGTGATGCGGTGCCAGCGCAAGTGTAAAGAGGGGGGAGGGAGCTTGGACCCTTCTGGCAGCTGGTACTCGGACTCGCACCAGAGCCGGATAAGTTGCCCTGATGACTTTACCGCTGCCAACGTGACGCTGGTGGGGCCAGATGAAGCCTTGGAGCCTCAGAAGTCGAGTACGTAAGTAACCTTGAGCCCCATATGCTTTTGGTACTGTAGTCTCTATATCATCTCAAATGTGAAGCTTTAGCTCCCCTGGGTAAGCTGGACAAGTAAGGAGTGGACTCAGCGAGGAAACTCCACTGTGCAGGTGGAAATTTGGGGTGGCGGCGGTGGTGGCACCGGTTCGTCTTTGGCAAGGGATCATGTCGAGGAAGTGGGCATCAATGTGAAAGTACATGCAGTTCCACGAACCTTTGATATGTTCTACAAAGGAATACCTTTCCCAAGCGGGATCTACTACAAGTTCAACGACACCAGGGGCAAGGTGCGATACGCCACAGCAGACGACACTGTCCACCTGGTACACCATGAATCCTGTGAGTTCTTGCATGACAAGCCCTGCTGGGAGTTCAGAGTCAATTCCGCGATCTTCAGGACGGACATGCAAAACCCCAATAACATGGCACGCGCCGGCGGCGGTGGCGGCGGGGGCGGGGGCAGGGGCGGGGACACGTTTTTACCTCCTCAAGCTGCGGGCGGGGTGTGGTATACGGAGCAGGCGGGGGCTCAATGGGCCCAATATGAGGCCAACCGGCCAAGAGAACCATCCACACTGCAGAGTGCTGCTGATGCGCAGCTGCGGCTGGTTGCTTTGGATGGCTCCCCTGACCGGGTACCTCAAGGCAGGCAGAAGTGGATCCACCCTCGAAGATCCGACTCCTCCTACCCTTTCACCGAATCTCAGCTCCTCCTGGACATCACCATTGAGCCCGCACATCGATTTTATGCCATCTGCGGTGGCTCCGGGGGATCCGGAGCACACGTCCTCGCTGTAGTTCTGCTCCAGGCCGGACGTCGCTATCGCCTCGAGGCCGGACGTGGCGGCAACTAGGTCTCCTATAGTCCCCTCTTTTCCCTTTTTTGTGGTCTCCGGTTCCTGATACAACTACCAATTCAGTACTAGTTAAAAGGGAGCCCTGTTTATTCCTACTGCTGATGCCAAAAAATCCTGCATGACCTACAACTTCGCACAGGTGTCATGTCGCGCTGTCCACTTCCCCGCAACCCCTGAATTTCAATGTTGCATCCCCATGGGGTCATGCAGGATTTTGGGCATT